GTATATAAAATACAGGTGTTCGTCTGTTCGTAATTCTGCTCTTCCTAAACAACAAGATTATTTTAACGATTTTTTTATGTACTGTTATTAATGATTTCCCCAGTAAAACTACTGAGCTTCAGCAATTCCTCCTTTATTACTTGTACGGAATGCCCTACAAAATGACTATCACAACTATTTATACAATACTAGCGGAACCCGCGGCTTCGCTTGCGCTAAAACTACAAAAAATATCTAAAAAGTTACTTTCATACAAACTTTCATCCACTATTTTACCCCCTTATAGGAAGAATTTCGAAAAATTTTAAAACACGTATTTATTCAATTTTATTGAAGAGCATTAATACCAAGTTTCAAGTAATTCTGATTAAAAATATTTTTATTTAATTGTATCATAACGTGTTTTCCCGTGGGAATTAGATAATCTCCCGCGGTAAGCCAATCCGTCACTCCGTTTCGACGTGAAAGAAGGACAAACAAACAAACAAACAAACACACTTTCACATTTATAATATTAGTATGGACGTCCCCACGGTTGGGTATAATGTGGCGCCATCTATCTTCTACAAATAATTATATAACTAGATAACTTCTTTTAGGATTTTACACATAAAAAAGCATAATATGATCTTAAATTTTTAGTCTCTATGAAAGGACTACGGTCTGCGTCTGCCTACCTAATACTAGCAGGCCTCCAGTAGTATTTAAATAAAACAATTTCGATACTTTACAGTTAGTTCGCCTTGATTCAATTTTACTATGTATAATATACATATTATATATTATGTACAATATATAATATAGATCGCAAATACTTTCTTAACATCTATCTGCGTAAAAGCGTTAGTTATTCGAGCGTGAAATTAACTGCAAGTACTATATTATAGTACCTATTACTTTTCCTCGAACAAGCCCTTTAGTACTCTTTTACGTTACAAGTTCTTATACAGTATGCATAAGTTAATGGAAAGGCCCTATTATACGGTGTTTTTTATCAGATGGTAAAACCATCTAGGTACAATTCAATCTACAGACTTGACTACGAGTATTTGATATTAATTTCAACTTAATACGAATAAAACGAAGTGATCCTATAGGGGTTCCTTTTTCCCTTTAGAGGTGCGAAACCCTTAAAATAACTTTTAATTAAAGTAGAGAGAATAAGAATTGTTATACAATTTTATCCGGAATATTTGTGTAACAAAATAAATTTCTAACCTGCCCTCAGATTAAACCTAAGATTTGGCGTGAATTTAAATATCACAACTTAGGGGCTAGAAATGCTGGTTCTTTACTAATAAGTAAATATCGAGTTTTAAATGCACTAACTCATAAACAAACGCAGATACGTAATATTCGTATTTTATAATGATTAATAGCAATACTAATAAAATATGTTCAATAATCAATAATTTTTATAAAGTAAGATTATTAAGATTCAGAATAAATCAAGTTCTCTGTTATCCCGTGGAAGCTTCAATTGCTCGGTTTCAAAGTTCATAGACTAAATTAAACTTAAAAATTTGAAAAAGAATTTCTAAATTATCTAATATAACGTAGTATTTCTTTAAAAAAATTAAGTTTATTATCTATATTAATATTATAAGGAGGTAAAGTTTGTGAGTTCGTGACGTTGTGAGTTTGTGACGTTGTAGGGGGTAATCTCTGGATCTACTGTACCGATTTAGATGAAATTTGGTAAGAAGATAGTTTGAGATCTTGGAAAGGACATAGGATACTTTTTATCCCGGAAATCATCCCTTAAGGGGGTGAAAATGGAGATGAAAGTTTGTATAGGAAAAACAAGGTAGGGGACGAACCCGAGCGAAGCGAGTGTGAGTCGCTAGTACTATAATAATTAGAGATCATTTGTCTAATTCATAAAGATAATGAAGGATGTTTAAGTGATTTGATTTGATATTAATTATTATGTAAACACTTTATCAAAAAAAATATTTTATTTTTAGAATACTGTGTTGTATTCTTACAAAAATCTGTCACTTTATAAATAGTTCCCAAGCAAATAAGTCTCTTTGAATAGTACTCTACTATATATGAATGTGGCAGAATATAGACAAAGAAACAAGTCTAAAACGAGTTACGTATAAAGCCTGTCCTCAGAAGTAAAATCCTCTTAGCTCAAAAGTTACTTCCGTAGAAAGCTTGAATATCGATTTTGTTTCTATATATAACTACATCTTAGAGTTTAACCTATTAAACTATTTTGTAAGAACACTTTATACTTAACACCTCTTCACTAGGTTTTGACTATGGTCCCCCCCAACGTGCGTTCACCTTGTCGTGGTGGTGGCGTGGTGGGGCTCAGTAGTGCCCGGCAACCCAACCGGGCGCGAAGCTAAGAAACACACAGGGAGGTTGCCCACTTCGGTGGGCGGTGGGAGGTGGCCTTCTTCGGTGGGCGGTGTACCATGCAGGTTGCTCCTGGTACTTCTCTGATAGCAGAGTGGACCTTGGAGCAACCCCATGGTTGTGGTGGTCTGCTTCGGCAGACCTGCCGTCGGGGCGTCGTAGTTGAATGCGTAAGCGATCCTGCGACGCCCCATCAAGACGGGGGAAGGTTTTGTTGGGTTTTAGTGGGTAGTACTAGCTGTATTAGGCCGGTGAGTCCCACACGTCGTGCGTAAATGCATTTCCCAACGTAAAAAAAAAAAAGGTTTAGGCTATGGCTTTGCTCACATTGACAAAGAAATCTATTACATAGGGATAGTGTAATATTATTATAATGTCTATTTGACCAACTAAGTTATCGCGAGAATCTCACTGAGACTAGCTCACGGTGCGGGACATATTATAGTACAAAAGAGTGTAAACGTAAGTGAATTCTCTATTCTGATCGCTCTTTAATAACGATTTGAAAAGATAAGATTCCTTCACCGTAAGACAAGTGGTTAGCATGTAGGAAATGATTCACATGAAAATATCTGAGATGCAAGACCTGGGATATGAACCCACTTCACTCGATTTCCCAAGCGAGCGCGTTAGAACTGGACTACCACTGCCTATCCTACCTACATATATTGCTTTATCAGAACATGTAAATAAATATGAGTGATGCACGTCATGAAAACTTTTTAGTCATATCTAATATCTAAGTTTTTGAAATATGTTTTTGTCGATAAAAATATTGTATGGATTCATATATCCTATGGGTTATCTATACATATAATAAAATTGTAACTAAGCCGAATCTGTACATTAAATATTTAATGTACAGATTCGGAATTATTCGGAATTCGGCATTATCCATACATAATCTATAGTTTTTAAAAATTTTGTCTGTCTGTCTGTTACCGCATCACAGAAAAGCAACTGGAGAAATTTTGATGCTGGTTATCCGGGTCAACATATAGAATACTTTTTACCGCGGGAAAATGTCTCATTTCTGAGAAAAAATACAAAAACTGCAATGTAAGAGTATACTAATAAGTAATACTAAGAATTTGGTTTTTGGTCATCTGAACGCGGGCGGAGCCGCGGGCAATTCTAGTCTATACATATAATAAAATTGTAACTAAGCCGAATCTGTACATTAAATATTTAATGTACAGATTCGGCATTATTCGGCATTCGGCATTATCCATATATAGGCTGAATCTATAGTTTTAGAATTTTTATCTGTCTGTCTGTTACCGCATCACAGAAAAACCACTGGAGGGATTTTGATGAAATTTGGTATGGCGATAGTTGATTATCCGGGTCAACATATAGGGTACTTTTTACTGCGGGAAAATATCTCATTTCTGAGAAAAAATACAAAAACTGCAATGTAAGAGTATACTAATAAGTAAAACTAAGAATTTGGTTTTTGGTCATCTAAACGCGGGTGGAGCCGCGGGCAATGCTAGTTTTAATATAAAACATTTTTATTTCTTAGGTACAACAGCATAAATATAATCCTATAACCAAATTATAAGCAAAAGAAACCCTTAATAAAACAGTCATCGGTATTGAAAATTTAAAGATAAAAAGTTACCAAGATAATAATTCTTCTCTCTAATTATAATTCGCTTGAATGCAAAAGTACATTTTCATGTTGCAGTTTAATTGTAACCTCGTAAAAGCTATAAAAAACCCTCTTAGCTTAACAAATTAAGCTTTAAAATCTTTATTACTAAGAATTATAGTTTGTTTACAAAAAATAATTATTAAATGCGAAATTCAAATACCAACATTAGTTAAAATGTATTCCAAACAACACTGTTGTAGGCATATTGATGCTTTTAATTGACTTCGAAAAGTAAAAGCATTCAATACTGTTAAATAAAACTATCTTTTCGGATTTTATATATATATATATATATATATATATATATATATATATATATATATATATATATATATATATATTATATATGCATTTTGGTTTTCACTCTGCCAATATTATGTTTCCATGCACCCTACGAGTAATCCAGATTCTAGAACAGCGAAATAGAAGCACTTAAGTGTGCAAAAGGAAGTAAGTGTATAGCTTAATTATTGCTAGACCACGAATTTATGTATATAACACATAAGTTAACGAAGTATCTTAAATATATTAAATTTTCATAAGACTATTTTTATAATAAACATAATATTTATTTTTATGCCCTTTTAGAGAAGATAGGTATCGTATGCATATAATCTCTAAATATAAATATGCTAATGCTTATTTTATTTACGTGTCGTCCAATTATAATAATAATAAAAAATACAGTATACGGAAACTAATCCATTAACATCCCATAAGTTTATTATTTTTTCTTTAATGGACACACACACACACACATACACAGCCACGTACACACAAATACCCAGTGATATGATATTTCTTTTTTCGCCTCCGTGGTTAGTTTCCAGGAAATCAATTTTTAACATGTCGGCATGTCGGGAACCGTTCAAGCGTTAAAAACATATATTATATATATTCATACAAATAACTATAAAATAATTATAATTAAGTTCCTAAGACAATAATAGGTATTTTAAGCAAAACCACTTACTTATCATGAAAGTGCTTATTACTCGTTGCATACGAATCAAATATGTAATTGAGCATTGGTGAGTCGCTTTTGCCCCGTCTAGCTGACACTCGACGGGGCTTTGTCAGCGGCACGGTGAACACTGTGGGGGCCATTGTTGACCCGAGATACGTAGCATCAGTGTCGGGTGCTGGAACAATATATGGATTAACTTTCATATTTTGTGACTGACTGTCTTGTTTAAATAGAAATTTTAATCTTAAAGCTTAAAGCTCAGCCAATTTATAAGGGAGAGCTTTATAGTCATTTTTTTATGGAGGAATTTTAACGGACAATACTGTAGCTTTAGTTATGTCTATTTATATGCTTACAAAACAAATAAAAATAAGCTACGGCTTGTTTGGCCTCTCAGTAACATAGAATTTTAATGCGATTGCATTAATATTATGTATAACAATGTATTACAAAATAGACTCCTACGTAAATGGTACATTAGCTTTTATGATACAATTCATTTGTACCAAAAACTTTCAAACATTATTATTATTAATTATACTTGTAAATATGTTCATTCATTAAGTTTATTATATTAGTTTATTATATTTAGTTTAAATCGGTGATTTACTTGTCGTATCTCACCTGTGGCATGTAATTGGGGGGTGACCGCCCTAGAGAGCAGAGTCATGAGCAGCACGATGCGGTGCATGCCGCTGCATCCTACCCGCTCAGCAGGCACTCTGAAACAAGACATACAAGAGTTCAACACTTACTACTACCCCCTTAACAATGATTGCTGTAAAGCATTCGAAACGTCAGGAACCAAAAATCAAAATAAATCCGCGAAATAATCCGAAAAGATAATTTTATTTAAAAGTAACAGACCGGTTAAATTATTATATAGAAATAAAATTTATTTGTTTCTATCTTTTTTGAGGTACCATGACTCTACTATCTGTACAAATTCTTTTACTAAACAAAAACTTCACTAACCAAAGTCATTTATTAAGCTTAAAAATTTGCATAAAAGTTTGAAATACCTCCTAACTTCCATATACTACCCCCCAACATATTATAACGTAATGCTATTAAAACTAAATTTTCAAAGGGGCGCAAAAGCTTTAGTCCGCCGCTTTACCCAGATTGCATATTATACTAATATTAGTTATAAAAGAAACTTTGTTTATTATGGTAGAAATAAGCTAACTTCCTTTTCAATATTCTAACTTAACTATATACTGTTCAAGATATAGTTATTAGTAACTTATAAAGGCTGTATTGCAAGTACAGGTCACGTTAAACTTAATGTTTCCTCTGAATATAGGTAGGTGTGCAACTTATATAGGACGGATAGTCGACTATCATCACTGTGTGTCTTACGAGCTTCTAAAATTGACTATTTGTAAAAATGGTGTACGCTCCCTGTATTAAAAAGCGAATCTAAGACCACTGATAAGTATGATGAGGCCTTACTAATCCTTTATTCTTTATTTCATTTTTTATCGTTTTCAAAATCTTTAAAAACATAATCATAATAATTTCAGCAACTATTAGGCCGCTCCACACACCATGCCGCCCTGGTTCATGGATGCCACTGTAGGGTAAATACGAATAAGCGTAAAGCGATCTGTATAATAAATTAATTATATATCATACTAGCAACTCACCCTCGCTTCGCTCGGGTTCGTCCCTAGGTTGATTCCCCATACAAACTTTCATCCCCATTTTCACCCCTTTAAGGGATGATTTCCGAGATAAAAAGTATCTTATGTCCTTCCCAGGGTCTCAAACTATCTTCTTACCAAATTTCATTTAAACCGGTTCAGTAAATCCAGAGATTACCCCCTACAACATCACAAACTCACAATTATCAAACTCACAAACTTTATCTCTTTATAATATTAGTATAGATTTTTTTAAATAACTTTACAGCATTCATCGTCACGGGAGATAAGATAGTTTTATTTAAAATATCAAATATTTGCGTAAATCTAAGAAAGTATTAGTATAGATTTATTAAAATACTAGCAGAACCCAAGATTTCGCTTGCGCTAAAACTACAAAAAAAAACTCTTTGGCTTTATGCTTGGCTTTATCCAAATATCGATATGTTTGGATGATATCGATTATCATGGTGTATGGACACTACGTCACATTCATCCAAACACTCGGAATAAGAATCTCAATAGATGTTAAAATATGAATTTCTAACACTTATTGTTTTTACCTTCTTACACGAAGTACCAATGTTGCTATAAAAGTTAAACACACGAAAATATATTTAATTTATTTCATTCTTTGCCTTCTACTTGTTTTATGTCTCACTTGATTGTTATTGTTGTTTTAAATTGTTTGAAAGCTATCCGAAATACAAAGAACTTCAGAAGAAATTATGTTCAAGCATGTTCATGTTTTTGTACAGAAAAATTAAAGGTTGAAAATTTTGGTTCTATACTAATATAATAAAACTGAAGAGTTTGTATGTTTTTTTGTGCTTATTTATGAAATTATCAGACGGATCGTAATTGTTTTTTGAATGATTATATACAATCATGCGATTAATCTTGCACCCAGAAACTATTTTTAAAAGACACTGCTTCAAACTTAAAGTAACTTTAGTCAGTTTACTTCCCATAAAAAGCAATCTATGTAACATATTTGTCGTAGGTTGTAAGAAAGTATGACAAGAATGTGTAGACCACCATTTCTCCAAGGAATATTAGGAGCAATAGAATTGTTGACATTCAACTGTGAAACTCGTTTAATATAGACGTAATTCAGAAGTCTTGAAAGGCTTTTGTGTATACCGAATCAAGAATCAACTTTAGCCATAATATGAATAGCATTTATACTACTTGCAGAATCTGTGACTCCAATTGTATTTCATTAAAGAAAGGAAGAAGAAGTCTAACTTTATCAAATTAAACATATATAATAGTGAGTGTAGAACATCATGTAGTCATCACATCAAAATAATCTGAATCAAGCTTAGGAATTTTATTTTACCAACAAATTTCCTTTGTATCTTCTCCATTCTACATGACATTGGCGAATCTATTTGTGACCAAATGGCACATTTTGAAGCCATTTATAAGAAAATTGAATTGAGGAAAATTATCAAACGGTACAATCAGTTAAAAGAGTGTTATGAGTGAGAAAGAGACAGAAAACTTTCAATAATAAAATAAGTAAATTGATTGTAGTAGTGAACTAGTGGTGAAATTAAGCGCTCAATTACTGAATTAAGCCGTTAGAGTACATGTACTGTGTACTTGAACTGTGATAATTGAATCTCGTCTATGTCAAAACCGAAGCTCGTAATAATATTAAAAATCATACACTAGTTGTTAGACAAGGGAATATTCATACAATATTTAATTCTTCTTAACCATAAACGAATAGACAGATATATTATTTACTAGCGGCTCACCCTCGCTTCGCTCGGGTTCACCTCTAGAAAAGCACAAACAGATCTATCCCACGGGAACCGTTCATTTTTCCGGGATAAAAAGTAACCTGTTGTTTGACCGGCAATATAAGGTATCAGCATGCCAAATTATACTAAATTAGGTGCGTAAGTTGTTGTGTACTAAGCTGTATAAGTTACTACAGTTTTTTAACTATCCCATGAAAACTCTTTAATTTTCTGGAAGGAAAATTATCTTAGATGTTAACCGGGGATATAAGGTACTACCATGCAAAATTTCATTTAAATCGGTTCAATAATTTCGGAGATTAGGCCGTACAAACAGACAGACAGAGAAACAAAAAAATTGAAAAAAGAAGTACTAAAACAATAAAAATAATCCACATGAATCAGTATTCACGCGCGATGGCTTATTATTAGCGTATTTCATGTATAACTTTGGTGTTTCTATACCGATTTCTATGATTCTTTTTCATGGAATAGTTTATAATGTTACCTTTTTTAATTAGGGATGACTGAGAGTGTTATAAACGTAAGAGTAGACAAATATAAATCAGAAAGCTTCGAACTGCTAAGCTATCGGGAGTTACACGTGTTATTGTGAGCCAACCATAAAAGATAGACATATGCTGTCGTGGGATATTTTTTATATAATTTTAAGGAGAACATTCCCGTCATACATGATTTCTGTGTAGCTTTAACCATTAAGGTTGCACACGCGACGGAAGCTTAAAAAATGGGGTAACTTCTCCCGTTTTCCCAACATTTCCCTTCACTGCTCTGCTCCTATTGATTGTAGCGTGATGAAAAGTATACTTTAACCAGCTCAGGAGTATGAAAAATAATTGTACCAAGTTTCGTTAAAGTCCGTCAAGTAGTTTTTGTTTCTATAACGGTTATACAGACAGACAGACAGACAGACAGACAAAAATTTTACTGATTGCATTTTTGGCATCAGTATCGATCCCTAATCACCCCCTGATAGTTATTTTGGAAATATATTTCATGTACAGAATTGACCTCTCTACAGATTTATTATAATTATAGATGACTAAAATGACATTTAAAATATATATTTTAATATATGTCATTAAAAATTTCAGCCGTGATTGTCTTGGGGTCTATATTTTGTACACAATATGTAACAGTCATTATTATAAAAATTATTTTATGTAAGAATTTCGGTTTGTTACTATTTTATCAACCGACTTCAAAAAGGAGGAGGTTCTCAATTCGACTGTATGTTTTTTTTTTGTTTTTTTTTATGTTACCTCAGAACTCCGTCATTTATTGACCGATTTGGACAATTTTTATTTTGTTTGAAAGGGTATACTTCCAGATTGGTCCCATTTAAATTTCAAAAAAAAATACCACCCCTAAGGGTGGAAAAACAACTAATGATGAATTTAACCTACTTCTAAGTGTCATATTGACTTGAAACTTTGCAAGTATTTCTATTTCCGTTGATAGTATAGTGGTTCGGTGTTGTTGACCTGATCTGATGGCAAGGCCAGAAGGTGGATAGGTGGAACTCTTCAATGGCTAATAGTAGATACTTTGAGTTTGGGCTTATTTTGTTTGGTTTGACAAGCCTAACACGTTAGAATCCTTACTTTGCTACTACTGTCTACACTAAAAAGGTAAAAATAAAAATTTTTAACAAAAAAATAAAAACCGACTTCAAAAAAAAAAGCACTAAAAAATAAAAAATAACTGATTGGTAGTTTTCATTTACTATACATACCTAATCAAATATTTTCGAAGTCGGTGTGCTTTGGCTAAGTAATTAAAGCCTATCTATTAAATTAAATGCATACCTAATCAAATATTTTCGAAATCGGTGCCAGCCCATACAAAGCAAAGCACACCGACGTCGAAAATATTTGATTAGGTATGTATAGTAAATGAAAACTACCAATCAGTTATTTTTTACTTTTTAGTGCTTTTTTTTTGAAGTCGGTTTTTATTTTTTTGTTAAAATTTTTTATTTTTATATCTATATTTTATTTTATGATAAAGGGAGCAACCCCTTGGTTGTTGTGGTCTACAACGGTCCGTCGTCGGTTTGTCGTTGGCTAAGTGCGTAAGCGATCCTGTGGTGCAGCGTTCAATTAAAACGGGGTTAGTTTCCATATCTTATCCATTCTACGTGACATTGCCAACTAATCTTCTCTACTGGCACGTTTTGAAGTGATTAACAAAAGAACTGAATATACATTCATTTAACAACATTTACTTTTGCCAATATACTGGCACGTTGCCATAGTCTTTAAAAATTGATATTGTTTTCATGTTTAAACATATTCATAATATTTTATAGACATCAG